AGTGTAAGCGTTCAAGCAAACCACTTCTGAAGATGCAAGCCACTCGTGCTTGCGAAACGTCCGGAAGAAATTCCATTTTACGACGGCCTAAAAACTCAATAGTTTCAAGGAATGGCCTCGAAAGTCTATCTCTTTTGATAATTCGAAAACTGCTTGGCAAAGCATAAATATTTTATGTCGTACAACCTCTAAACGTCCATAATCATCGACCCAAAGGAAATATCCCTGAAGTGAGTTTCGAATTTCATATATTCACCTATATATCCATTAATCAAATTGATACCGAGCCATTGTAGTCTGGAAAATCGTCGGCAAATTTCTATTTTATGTTTGCTCAAATGTGCCATATAGAGATCTGTATCGATATGCCTTTAATGCGATGAAATTTCAATAAAACATCATTCCCCGGTAAAAGCGATTGCGATGCTATCGAAAATGGAACTTTTAGGCAAATTGGAAATATAATATTTCAGTTTGAGAAAAAATTCCTGCTCATAAGAACGATACAACTGATTGCAAGATTATCAAAAGTCGATCATCGTCATGGGGGAAGGCTGAGGAACTCATTAGTTGCGATTCACAAAATGTGAAAAAAGTCCATTAATCTCCATGTTTGACAAATGTTGAATGGTTAGTGCTACTCTCTTCGAATTTGTGTTAAAATTAATTATATTAAGGGTCCGTGCACATAAGAGACCGAGCTGCAAAAAAGCGGAAAACATAAATTTATCGTATTAGATTGCTCTGTGCATGCTGTCTTCAAGCTTTCAAAAATTCGTCAAGGAAAAACCAAAATTTTCTCAATTCGGCCCATAATTTAACTCGAAAGAAAGTCCGCAGCTTTAAGTGAGGAAAAACTCACTTTAACAGGAAATTTCTGAGAGTTTTCAGTATTTTTTCATCATCTTTTTTCTTTCCTGGGTTTCAGTCAAAATATGAAATAGAAATCTTCATATCGTTTAATTTATATTACGTTTCGGCGAGACAACAGCGCCATCATCAGATTTAAAATTCAAAACAAACCCATAATTGGAAAACATTTTATTCTTTATATGCTTGCCAAGCATATAAAGAATCAAATGTTTTCCAATTATGGGTTTGTTTTGAATTTTAAATCTGATGATGGCGCTGTTGTCTCGCCGAAACGTAATGTAAACTAAACGACAGGAACAATTACACGCAGTCAGGAAAATAAATCAAAATAAAGTATTGTTTAATCAATAAACGAATGATAATCACAATAACTTAAATAATAAAACAAAGCTGCGAAAATAGCACAATAAACACGAGACACTGTGTTGATATGACCTGCTACGTCACAATCGGGATAGGCAACCGACGATGCGGATAAAATTATTATAGAGACTTTTTTGCAAAAAAAAAATTACATCAGTGTAATGTTTGCCATAATCATTTTCTATATATAAACGTTAAAAAAAAGTGAAAACACCCTATTATTGCTTAAGAGACCAATCGGCTTAATTACAGCCAGTATTATTCGCTAAAGACATGGTTGCTGGCGGAATGGCGCGTTGCCCACATAAAGACGAATAACCCGAATAAATCGCCCTTTGGGGACGCATTTGTCGGAAGGGATCTTCATCAAATGGGCTCTACCGAAGAGAAAACTTGCTTTAAAGTATCAGCCTCAATCTCAATCATTCGCTGCATGTAAACGGCTTCTAATCGTCTCACGGTTGTGGAAAAGTCGACAGGTTTTCCCTGGAGAGGCCAAATTATACTGCCACCCGCCTAAAGCCCCATACACATTTACATCAAGCGATATACAATTGATTCTGGGCAATTTCAATTTCGTTGCTCAATAAGCTCATCAATTATTGCGGCCAGCGGACAACATTAATGTGGGCAACAGGCTGGACGATAATAATGGGGAAACGATAATGATCTATTCAATGTGGTCCGAGCTCTTGCATTAAATTAGGAAAACCTGTAATCGGTTTTATGTGATTTTTTGCTTTCAGGAGTTAGAAGAGATCTATGAAGACTTGTGCTCAACAGTGGCTGATGCGGTTTTACAGGGTGCTGAAGTTGTATCGTCTAGAGTAAGTCGGCTCAGTCTCTTTCAATATTTAACTTTTAATTTT